CTCAATATCTTCCTGTTGTTACTACAGCTATGAAACCCAGAGGGCTTATGGGGATTGCACTTTCCACTAACACATGCACAACGGAACAGGTTCAAAAGGCTTAGGTGCTGCAGGGGAAACAGGCTGGGGCCAACAAAGTCCCCTTTCAGTTTGTTTTTACCCAAAGCAACAGCAAAAAATGAAGATCCTTCCAGAAAAAAAAAATAAATTTGGTTGGTAGATCATTATGGTTGCACAGCTGAGGCTGCAAACATTTGGAAGGGCTGTAGTCTGATCAGCCTTAATCCTCTCTCCTTTTTCTTCTCTTATTAATAAGCCTTATCGCATGACTCTAATTGTGGGAAATAGCTTTCCCCCCCCCCGTAGGACTTGCTAACATTTATATTGAGTTTGCATCCAAATGCCCCCAGTTACACTAACTACTGCAAAAGCACATGAATCATAGAATCATAGAATGGCATAGGCTGGAAGGGACCTCAGAGATCATCTAATCCAACCTCCCTGTCATGGGCAGGGACGCCTCTCAACTAGACCAGGCTACTCAAGGCCCCGTCCAACCAGGCCTTGAACACCTCCAGGGAGGGGACATCCACAACTTCTCTGGGCAATTTATTCCAAAGTCTTACCACCCTCATACTGAAGAATTTCTTCCTAAGATCTAATCTAAATCTGTTCTCCTTCAATTTAAACCCATTTCCCCTTGTCCTATCAATGGACATTCTTGTAAAAAGTCCCTCCCCAGCCTTCCTGTAAGTTCCCTTCAGGTATTGGAAGGCAGCTATTAGGTCCCCCTGAAGTCTTCTCTTTTCAAGGCTGAACAATCCCAGCTCCCGCAACCTGTCCTCATAGCAGAGGTGCTCCAGCCCCTGGATCATCTTTGTGGCCCTCCTCTGAACACGCTTCAACAAATCTATGTCTCTCTTATGGTGGGGACACCAGAACTGGACGCAGTATTCAAAGTGGGGTCTCACAAGAGCAGAGTAAAGGGGGAGAATCACCTCTCTTGACCTGCTGACCACGCTTCTCTGAAGTGCTATCTTCTCTGAAGTAAGAAGTAAGTGCTATCTATGTACGTGAGAGGACAGAGCACAAAGAAATTACAGCGAGCATTTACAACATACAAAAAATGATTCCTAGGAGAACAATTGCATGGCATATTCCTTTCATGACTCTCTTTTTAAACAATCAGTGTTTTCTTTAAGATCTTCTTTGGTGAGTAAGTGACATTGTAGTTCAGAAAAGAGAGTTAGAAAAGCAGAGAAGCTAAAAGCATGGAAGGGTCTGAGACTGGCTGGGGGAGAAGCAGAGTAGAACAGTTAGGAGCAGGTCCAGATGTCACAGGACAGAGGGTGAATACAATCAGCTTCCAAATTTCAGAGTCCCCAAATGTCGGAGACGATCACATTTTCAGGCTTTCAAATAAGTGAGGCAGACCTTACTGGGTTTGATCTCATCCCAGGCTCTTTTAAGCTTTCAGAAAGGAGGTTGAAAGCCTTGGAAAAGTCTGTAGTCTTGTTCACTGTAAGCTTCTTCCAAGCTACTGCCATTCTCAGAGCAAAACAGAAAAAAAAGAATTTGCAAATAGCTTTATACTGTCTTGGGTGCTCTCTAAGGCATCCAAGGAAATGATCTACCAAAGAAATAAAATTGTTCCGTGTGTACTGCAGGAAAAAAATGTTTCCACTGGACAAACATAGTTTGTTGTGGTTTTTTTTTTGTGGTGTTTTTTTTTTTTTTTTTTTTTTTTTTATTCAATGTCCCCTACAATTGACATCAAATCAACAGCAATATAAGAGCAAAAGAAACCATCGCTAGGAAAACACCTTCTCCAGGCTACAGGTCCTGGAAGAACATAAAGCATCTGCCTGTGTTATAAGCACTAGTGAAGTGGAAGACATGGCCCACAACCCACCTTCCAAAGTTTAGGTCTTACTGTGGCCCAACTTCCAATGAATGCAAGGACGCAGCATCGTTGTGGGGACATGGTTAGGCCTGATGTCCATTAGTACATGGGAGCCTGGGCTAGCAGCTGGGATTAAGTCAGACTCAAAGTAATCACAGAAGCTATTTGAACAAGCAGTCCCACCCCAAAGTGCTGCATCTTTTCCCTCAAAATCAACAGCTGCTCCTCTAATAGGATGCTTCGCTGCTGCTTTATCACTCAGCTACCTCCTTTCCTGTCCCTGGCATGCCACAGATTGCTAGTAGCAGAGAGAGTGTCCGTACTCCCCCACATTTGACCATCCCTAATTACCTTCCCTAAGTCATTAAACAAAATCCTTTCTCTGGGGTTTTGCTGTATCTGAATTGCTTTTCTATTTCTGTCATGCACGTGCAGACACACAAAATGTTCTTACATCATTAAGATGCAAAACACATTGCTCCTGAGCCAATGTTTTCAAAAGCAGTGTTTCCAAAGCAGTGTTTCCTGAAGCAAGTGCTTCCTTTGGGCTCCCCTACAAAAAAAAATGGTTTATGGAGCTGATTTCTGCAAAGCCTGATGTTCCAGTCAGTCAATTGTGTGCAACTATTGCTATTTATTCCTGACTTAGAAGCCTTCACTGTGCCATGCTCTCGCTGCAGCCTCTGCCCCACCAGTTGCCTCTCTCTAACCAGAACACATCTCTCTCCTCCCCTCCTTGCAAAGTAACACAGCTGTAACTAACCCCAAGAGTTTCAGAACTGCCACAAGTCCCAAGTGCAAGAACCAGCATCGGTCATGTCCCCTGAATAATCTAGCGCTATACTTCCCCTCCTATGTAAAGGTGTTTAACAGTGGATTAATTTACTGAATAGGCAGCAAAGTACATATGTACGTGTGTGTGTGTGTGTGTGTGTGTGTGTGTGTGAGTGTGTTAGGGGAAATAGGGGCAAGATGGAGAAAGACCGAAAAAGGAGGAAGGGACGAGGATAACTGGAATCATGACAAACCTGGGTCTGGTTCCTGCACAGGCTTCCTTGTGCACCCAGCTGCCATATTCCCTGCTCCTCGGATCCCAGCTATAAAGCAGGAAGCACACCTCAGCAAGGTGTAGCAAATAGACATACACTGGAAGGCTGTGTGAGTCGCACACCTACAGCAGTAAGCCTTGTAAACAGATCGGGTAGGAAGGAACAGTATCTGTTCCTGTAAAATAGGATAAAGCGTAAGTACCGAACAGGGTGAGGCAGCTGGGGCGGGGAAACAGACCAGACAGGAATGGGGAGATTCCTACCAGGAATGAGATTCCTGGTTCATACAGGGCTCTTGTCTGTTATTGTTTCCTTCTTTCCCAATCTGTGCTTGAAGCAGGAAGAGAGGGGAAATGGTATGCAATTCGGAACACAGTGCTAGACCCGGACTTTCCAAATCTCCCTTTGATAAGCCTCCTGAACTTTCTAAGGCTTGACTTCCTTACCACTTCCTCAGTCATGGATGGCATTTACCAGTGGTTCAGCGCTTCTTTCACACATAAAACCCCTTCTCCTTACCATACGGTGCTTGTAAGCCTTCCCTAATCTAGCAGGTACGTCTACTAACATTTCCTTCATTTCTTTGCCACCTCTTTCAGGCCAATCCTTATTTCCTTTTTGCTCACCCTCAGTAATGTTCTACTTTACTTCTCTAGCCATGTCTTTCCTACTAAGGAGGAAATCCTAACTAATCCCCTCCTGGGAGTCTACTGCTTTCAAAACCGCTCATTGGCAGCAGGTTGACAACAACCGCATGGCAAGGCTTAGTCCTTGAAATTTGCCACTCAAATTGAAATCAAATATTTCAGACATCATTGTGGCAAATAGCTAATACATAAAATGATGAGGAGTTGTGTGATACATAAAAGGATGCTAGATTAGGTTTCTGGAAGCAAATCCCAAGAAAGGTCTTTTCAATCATTGCACAAGCTTTTTTGCCTTCCTCATCCTACACAAGCCAGTGATTGGGATACACCCATACCAAGGGAGACACCTAAAGCCAGACAATCATTAAGCATGACACTGGGCGTGCCTTCATTTCAGTGCTAGGCGTGTGAGCGCCCCATTTAGAGAAAGATATAAGATAGCAGTTTATTTGTAAAACAGTGGAGCCCTCGCCACAGTTGTTGTCTGAAGCTTTCAACAGGGATAGCCAGGTGAGTGCTCAGGCTCCAGAAGCAACCTCCTCCGTCCCCTTCTCACCATCACACCACACCGTAAAGCCAGTCTTTTTCTAGTCACTACAAGACTTTCTGCTAATGATCACATCAAGATCCAGAATTAGGACGCTTCAAGACAGACAGTGCATTCCCAGTCAGAACAGGTATTGCAGACAGACAACGTTTAAGATTTGGGCTTTTTTGGCAAAAGCATACCTTTGGGTTTGTGGTTCATTCTTTATGGTGCTTGATGCCAACTGTTCTACAAAACGTTCACATAAACGAGAAGTACTGGTTTCAAAGAGAACAGCTTGAGAAAACAGTAAGTAAACTGACTGGGATTTTAAGCAGTACAAGGCTGGAGAGCAGGCATCAAAAAAGTACAGGCATTAGTTAAATCAGCCTTGCAGTAATGTAAACATCAAGACAATACAGCTTCCAATCTATGTTTGGGTGGTTGTTTTTTTTTTGTATACAGCAATAAATCACACTTTAAAAGCCACTCCACACACACTTTAAGTTGATAAAACAGCTTTCCACTAGTGATTAATACATCACGAAGTCGAGTCCACCATCATTTAAGCTTTAGAAGGAAACTACTACATTTCAGTGTGCTTGTGTTTGTTGTGTTTGGTATGAATTAGAGGCTAGTTAGTCCACAGGACCAACAGTATCTTGCACAAGCATTCACAACTCTGACTGCTGTCTAGGATGATAGGAAAAAAGTGGCTTCAGGTTCTAAGATTACAAAATTTAACACACAAGCCTAATCCATACAACCTGTTCAATGGAGGCTAAGACCGCCATGAAACTACCCTAATAAGTAATATGGCAACTACCTATTTGTTTTCAACATTAAGGCAATTAAGGTAAACAATTAAACCTTACCTTCATTCCTTTAGTAATTCCATTTTTCTTATAGATTCCACTTTTTAAGAGGTTATTCTGTTTCTGGTGATGATGATGTAGATGTCCATTGCAGACAGCACTGGGATTAGCCATCTGTTTAAATTAGTCAGATTCTCAGTTCTTAAGGGTGTCTCAGGTCTTTCTACTGTAAAAAAGACAGTGGGATGAGCAGATAAAGTTCTTGGTTAAGGCCTGAAAGGTATCCAACTGGTCCGTCAGGATTTTCCAGGATGAGAGGAGGAACTATCTTTTGCAATATCTTAGAAACTTAAAACTGTTTCTTTCATATACCTTCAGCCCCAGCAAGCTAGAACGCGAAACACATAGCAGGAGGCGTGCTCTTAAAATCTCTGAAAAATACTGCTCATTGCTGGCTGTTGTATGAACACAGCTCCCGTGAGTCAACAAGGCTGCTGCAGCTATCAAGAAGTGGGTGGATTCAGAGGCGGAGACACTTAAAGATATAGTACCTCTTAAATATTTCCCAGCGAGGAACATTACTTTTTTTCCTCCTGATTACACTTAACGTAGAGCGATGTGACTCCGTTTCCAGTAGAGTAATAAAATGTTTCGAAAATTTAAACAGAGTAATCTTTAAAATTACATAGTTTATCTTGTTAAGAGTATATTGGCTGAAAAAAGTAGTATTTGGCTGACTAGAATAGGACAGCTATTTATTTTTGTTTTTATCTCTTCTTACATAGGTAGCATGATAGACACAACATTAACCCTCGAAGGAAACTGAAAGCATTTTAGTATTAAAATGAAATTTTATCTAGAGCTAAAATCAATATATTTGGCCCTATCCTACGGATGCATGCGCAGATGTTTCCTAGAGTGAACTGTCCCTTTAAACTCAGTTTGGCCAGTAATGGGACAAATGGAATGCTATTATAATTAATAAGAAATGAACTTTTATAAAGTTGATTAATTTAGTTTTAAAACAAGTCAGGCTTTAATCACATGTGAAACCACTAGGCAGGAGTAACATACATCCTTGCTTTTAAGGCAAGAGTTTATTGATTGTGGAAATACATATATTGTCTTTGCTGAATCAGATTCTCATGTTTCAGATTTCAGTGGCAAAACAGAAAAGTATAAGCATCTCTGGCAGCATTTGATAGAATCCCTTCCTCTCAAAATAATTGAAATTAGTGTGGAGACAGATTAAAGGAAAGCTACATTATAATATCCATTTTGGAAAACAGTAAGGATGAAAGACTGAGAGAATAAAAATACTCGGAGTGTTTTAATTAAAAAAAAAAATTACTATGTCATCTTGTCAATGAAATGTAAGTGATACACAGAAAAATCAGCCTACAACTTCAGGATGTAGAATACAGGAGATTAAATGTTAAAGGAACCACTGTGAAAATTTACAGGGAAACACATTGCATTGGTTTTGGAAACCTGTCTTAGACATGTACTGAATTGCTAAAAATGTATTTTCTCCTTTGAAGTGATTTGCAAAGTGGGATATCTTCAATGTGTTGGAAAACTTTTCATCCCTACTTAAAAGAGACCTGAACTGAACTGTGTTTAAAAAAAATATCTGTGCAGCCTTCCTTCCACGTTTCACCTCATTTCATACCAGACAGTGGTCTGCAGAGAATTCCATTAAGATCTGCAGAAAACCTCTACAATACACTATAGAGTAGCACAACTGAAAAAGCAGTCCTTCTCTAACAAGGTTTGATTTTTGTATCATTGGAAAGAAGCCTTTTACTTATGTATTCCAGTTAATAAGACAGTAGTAGTTTTGATCAAGAAAACATCTCCTTAACTGACTAAAATGACACAGAAACAGTAAAATGCCAAAATGTTTTGCTTCACAATTACACTAGATTCAACATCAGAACTCAGATTTCCTAGGTTTTGTCTTTCCGGTGTTTTTCCTAGGCAAGAATGCCTCATTTCTCTATGAATCAGGCTTTTTTAGGCTTCTTTAAGGCATCTGTAAAGATAATTGAATTAGAGATTAATTGTGAATATGTAGTGATAAGATAAATTGTTGGTCACGATAAGTGGCTAGGAGTTCATATGAGGACAATGAGCCAGAAGTAGGTGGAAAGAATAGTAATATTTGCCTGCATTTCTATCACCTATGGTACCATGATAAATGGAACAAGATAATGTAAAGCATGCTCTCTGCGCGTGGCAACCCCCTCCCACCAAGCAGCATTCTTCATTTGGGAATTACTTCCTTGATTGTCACAGCAAATCAAACATCTGTAAAACATGCCACCTGCTCAGTCAGTTACTGATCATCTTGACCCTGTTGTGATAAAGTTAAGACAAGAAAACTTACCAGAGTAGTGTTCTTCCCTTTAACAGCTTCCAGTGTCTCAGCTAGCACCTCTGCCAGGTGTGATTCCCAACAGACTCGGCACCTTCTGGGGCACAAAGTGGTATAATTAACATCTCATGTGTGTCTTATTCTTTTTTTCAATTAGGTTTATGAGGGAGTGGAATCTCTGATTAGATAACAGTTCAGATGATGCAAATTCTGTCTCTAGTCCCAGGCTGTAAGTCTACACTTGTTATCTATTTCAAGGCCCATGAAATACCAGTGCCCTTATACAAATTAAACAGTGAATTAAAAACGCTATATTAATTTTAGTTTTCAGTGTCTCTAATGTTTAAGATCACAAACAAGCAGCATGTAAAAAAAAGAGACTATATAGAAATATTAATTTAAATGAGCAGTTTTAGAAACCTCAGAAAACAGCTGTCCTTTCAGATTTCTTTTAACTGTGCTCTAAAATCCAGAGCTCACAAAACAAATACCACTAGAGGCTGAGTAAAATTCCTGTCCTGATTCCATTCAGAGCAAAGGATTTATAGAAGAGATGAGTCTGGCCAAATACACACAGATGATCCGTAAACAGGATGTGGTATTTCTCTTGCAGAAAAAAAAAAATAAAAATGTTGAATTGTGCCTGTCAGAACTCCATCTTACTCAAAGCCATCTGTTACTCAGACTTCTATGTCCATATCTACCATGCTACCGATTAGATGCATCTAAATCTGTTACTCAAAAATATAGGAGTCTACACTGCCTGGACACTGGAGGAGGGACTCAATCATTGTGTACTTTGCAACACTAAAACCACCAACAGCAACACCCTGTCTCTTTTTAACATTCTGAGAAGCACGACGAAAAAATTTAGTATGCTGACTGTACAAGAACTGTGTGTAGTTAACTGCAAGGGACCCCAATCCTACTAAGATTGTACGTGTGCTTCGCTTCAGAGGCTTGGGTACTGGTCAGAAGTAACAAAGGTGCCCTTCATATATTGGCAAGAAGATGGTGAATTTCTAAGGTTCCTAGCAGACCATACACCATGTTCTACATAAATGCTAGTAAAGTTTGTAAGATGTGGCTACAATTACTATAAACCTGTAGGAAAATCACCAATGAATTCCCAGGATGTAGGTTTTACTCCTTGCTTTGTCATTATCATGTTAGCACCATTGTGTCTTTGCAAACTCACCTCTTAAAATCAGGATAAAAATGTTTAAATCCTTTGTAAATGCCCTGAGACAAATTGCTAAGGAGTATGGTGCAAACGTTAAGTAAAATATATATAGTTAATTAGCCCAGGTTTAATGCCAGGGCAAAGAGAAAAGGGAGGGGTAGGGCAGTGTCTCAGCAGTCTTTCAGTATTTGAAGAAAACCACTTTCTGCTATGCACTACCATTGTTACACAGGATAGGTTAAAAGGTTGACCTCTGCGGATGCACTCAAAAAATGGAGACAAAACCATCTAACCTTCCATTGGACTTTCTGTCCCAGTCAGACCATTTAGTGTCATTAGAGTGGCCACAGAGTCCACATCTGTAATAGCACTACTGGATTATCTACCAATAACAAAAGTACATGTCGCAAGAAAGTGTGAGAGCTGATCCCCTGAAAACTGTAATGTCGTAAACCAGAAGGATTTCCACAGGATCCCTGCTCATCCCAGAGAACAGTTAGTTACAGCATAGTTGTGAAACAGTCTTGCAATCTAGTTGCAAGATCTTGATAATCTCAGTTCATGACAGATGCAAATTTACATGCCACTCAAAACAATAACGATCTATGCAAAGACGTCTACTGGCTTTATGCTTATTTTCACTGGAGAGACATCAAATAGGAGCTGAAAAACTGGGAGGCTAACTCTATTCTTTTGTTAAAAGTCATGGTTCTAATAACATTTACATTATCTGCAGAGTATGCCCCAGTAGTGGGGCCTTCTTGCTCTCCTGATCACTTCTCTTACAACAGAAGCCCGCCTTATAAATTCTGTGTACCATTGATGACTTATTCTCTGATTAGGATCCCAGTACGTTTGGTACTTGCAGACACATGGATATGGGGGACAATTCCTACCTTGGATATGTAAATGACTGACGATACAGCAACACCAGTGAGGCTGAAATAAATCAGCAAATAGGGAGACACCATAACAACAAAGCAACAGCAAATAGCAGGTATCAGCTGGCTGGTCATCTCCTTGGGTGTCCTTTCAGATTCATCCAGACTTCACCAGCACTGGCTGTAGGCTAAACTTCCTTAATATTCACATGGAAGAACCCCTAATCCATGTTTGCTGCATTAAACCCTTTAGCCAATACATATGTGGGAACGAGTCACGATATCACCCTACATCTGGGTGTAAAACTGCGACGCCAACGCCCATGGGTCCCCCCAAGTGCCCTTGCTCGGCTGCCTCTTGAAGGATATACAAAATGCTTTGAAATTGGTCAGGAAATAAATCTAGAGCACCTCAGAACCAAGACCCATGGCATAGGCAGATGCACACAACCAGCATTGCAACAGAGAGGACCTGCTACAACGGACAGGGCTTCTCCAGCCCTGGCAGGTCCGCGCATCATTTGCAGAGCCCTGGGACTGGTATGGTTGCCTTTTTTCACTTTTGCAATGTGGGAGCTGGAGGGGAGAGAAGGGCACAAACAGGCTCCCCAGGGGTGAGGTAGAGGAGGCTATATACTCTGAGTTACATCAGATGTTAGTTGTTGGGAAGATCAACCATAGGGAAAATTTGCACATTTTACAGCTTTTCTGGGTTGCATGACATTCTGGAAGA